AGTAGTGAAATGACATTTTATTTTTGTTTGGAAAACAAATCCTTCACTTTAAATTGGTTCATTGTTTTCTAATAGAGTTTTGTAGTATGAAACTCTTCAGTTTAGAAAAGAAATGCATACAAATTTCTGTTTAAATATGCATATGCTTTTACTGTGCTTATTGTATGTCTCTTGATTTACAGGCCTTTTTGCAAATGTGTAATTTGCCTATCAAAGTAGTTTGTAGGGCAAATGCAGAATATATGTCTCCCTCTGGTAAGTGTGTGTTTTTTTCTTCTCTGTTAATATTATGGATTGATAAAATTATAGTGATAGTCCAGTTTGTATCTACATGTTAAAATGTCTGATTTTTTGTTTACCCTTTGAAGAATCTTTCCATGGTTTTAGAAAGTAGCAGTTGCAAATTTGACAATCTTGGGGTCAGCATATCTATGCGTTTCAACTCTGGTCAGAGATGGTTACTGACATTTGTGGAAATAATTTTAATAGTAAGGGAATTGTTTTAAATAGTAAATGTTAAGGAAATACATGATCTCAGATTTCCCTAGTCTTAATGTATATAAGACTTTCCTTTTGAGAAAACAAATTTTAGTAATAATGAATCCATTATTATTCAACACATTTCTCTAAATTATATTCTCTCATAATATAGGTGGAAAAAGCGAGATTGTAGAAAAATTAATTTGTCATTAGATCTTGAAGTCATCACTGAATTTGTTTTCTAATTATTTTTTCTAATGCTTTATTTTAACAGGTTTTGAGATGCGTTAGCCTTTCTATTTTTTATAATCAGTATTATCTTTCTGTCAGTAGATTACTGTTTTAAATAAATAATTCAAATAATTTTTAATATAAAAATGTGTTACAAAGCTGATAAATAAATGTTATATATAATTGCCATGGATGTTTATTGTAATTATGATTTTGTTGGAGCAATGATAGCAAATAGAATTATTCCTTTTTGAATAAATCATTAAATATAACTGATTGGTATAACTGTGTAACATTGCTTTTTAGAGAGACATTTATCTTTTCATTTTGATATGATAATTTAAGAGTGCCTTGTGTTAAACTTTTTTTTTTTTGCCTTGAGTTCTTAAGTGTGGTAGTAATTGTTAAAAGATATGAAGACACCCCCTTTGTATATACTGAATATTCTTTTATATAAATTTATATGGTTTTAGGGATTTATGAATATGCATTTAGAAAACATTTCCATAAAATAATTTCTAGGCTTATAAACATAAACATGTTTTAGATCTTGGAGGCCATTCATTGACTCATTTTTGTGTTGATTTTAAACATAGATTTTTATGAACTACAGAATTCTGGAGAAATAAGTTATATTGTGTTCTGTCCATCCTTTTCCTCTCTCTAGTCATACAAAAAGAGTTTATATATTTATGTACAAAAGTTAGTAATCTACTACTAAAGTTCAAATATTTGGCAAATGAGAAATCAATATAGTTCATCTATCTGTTTCCTAAAAGTACTTAGTGTCACTTAGGTAGATATCCATTTTCTTTTTATAGATTGTGCAGAGGACAAAGATAAATATTTTAGAGACATACAAAATATATACATTCTTTCAGAGGAGGAGTCTACTGTAGGTAGATGAGAACAGCATTTTCTAATAAGATATTTAAATTTCATCATATCTCCGATTAGTATTCTTTTCATTTAACGATTTGAGATGATCAGGGAAATGTTTTTTATTGTATTTGCTTCTTTGATCTTGTGGTAGATTTTTAAAGCAGAGAGCATGGAATAGTCAGAAGACCACTTGGTTTAAACTCTTATTTCCTGAAGAGTTGGAAATCTTTAAACCTTCTGTGACTTTGTCACATATTAACTATTTCCTTGAGAAATTTCAGTTCTCTGAGCCTCAGTGATTTTATCTATAATATAAGGGAGTTGGGTTAGATGACATCCAAGTTCCTATTTTTTGTATTCTTTGAATCTGCCAACTTGCTTGACAACATATTCTTGCTTTCTTTAGAAATAAAAATTTTAAAAGTGATTATTCTAAGATGGTAACAAAGCCCTCAGTTTTCTTATATGACCTTTGATTGGTACCAGAAAATAACTGTCTTACTGTGTTTTTGCCTGATACCTGCAATTATAAGGATATAACATTGGCTCCATTGTCTTTAAGCAGGCTAGTAACAGAAAACATTATTCACTTCTAATTTGTTATCTTTATTTTTATATATCTCTTAATATTTAGATATATATAAGATGAATACTCAGTTGACTATCCACACTTCTTTCTTGCTTCAGACTTGACAATGCTCAATGTATTTTTAAGAAAAGAAATAAAATACCCTTTTTTCCCAAGAACCTGACACTGGTGATTAAAAATGAGAAATATGCTTTGCTCTAAAAATATTGTACTCCGAATACTCTTTGGTCTAGGTACCAAATAGTTTTCATTCTCAGATCATTTTATCTCAGGGGACCTGTAATAATTCTGGTAGTATGGTAGTTACAAAGATTTTATCCCAAGTTAAAAAAACAATATGGCTTAATGCTTAACCAGATAAATTCTTTTTTTTTTTTTTTTTTTTTTTTTTTGCAAGATTTATAAACCAATAGAAGGAAGGAATGCAGAACTGGCCACAGGGAAATATCTTCTCAATACATCTATTGACTTGTGTTCCAAAAGGCCTGCCTTCCCTTTGTAATGTATGTTGTCCTATGGATGCAGATGAAGCTTTTGTTAGGGCTGTGCATTTCATCAGTTACTCCTAGGCTGACTGGGCCAGAGAGGAGTGAATCTATTTAAAAGGAGCAGGAAGAAACCTGCTGTTAGTGTGAACTCTATTTGAACTAGGTCTGACAGCAGTCTTCATTCTTTAGCATTTAGAGTAGACCCTTGCTATTTGGAGATTATTTTGTTCTCTCATCTCTAATAATTCCATCAAGTATTAGTATTTGTTAAAGTTAAACATTCCCTTTTTAATGGGGCATTTGTCTATAGAAGCTATCTTTTATAAATATACTATTATTTTTTCCCACATGTTGGGAACATACTCTGTATTATAACTCACCAGTTAGCATGCCTTCAAAGATTGTTAATTCTTTTAATTCTTTCTATTTTGCGTCAAAGACATTTATTAATACACAATTACTTGCTTAAAATGTTGATCTAAATGGATATCAAAGACTTAAAAGATGTAAAAGGATTTCTTAAATGTAGTTTGCAATATAGATTGATCACTGTACTCGGAAAAGAAAGCCCAGTTAAATTTCTTTGAAATTTATCAGTGGTCATGTACCAGTGCCCTGGCTTGGTTCATGTAATTTGGATAATTAATATTTGCTGCTATATGGTGATATGTTCTTGTTGGCTCTGAAAAGAGAATGTTGTGTGATCTGTTATATCTAAATGAGAACTCTAGAAATGAATTTACTTGTTCTCCTTTTCTAAAATTGGTTAGTAGTCAGTGTTTAAAATTTATCAAATTTAATGTACATATCTAACAAAAATTTTCAAAAGTTATACTTTTATGAAATCACTATTAATAAACATCATATCTGAGTTCTGTGGGTTTTTTTATTATCACAAACTTTAACTTACTCAAAGTATTTTTATACTTTTTTTTTCTCTCAACAGGTAAAGTACCTTTTATTCATGTGGGAAATCAAGTAGTATCAGAACTTGGTCCAATAGTCCAATTTGTTAAAGCCAAGGTAATAAAAAAGATATTAAATGCATTTGATCATAGTTACTAAGTCATTCATCATTCTTTAATGTATATTAGCATTTACATTGATTTCAACCTAGTTTTATAAAATGCCAATGCAAACTACTGGAAAATATTTCTGAAGTGTAAGTTAGTATTTTTTCATAATATAATGGCAAAAGAGGTAGCTTTTTTCTTTATTAATGTCAAATTTATTAAAGGTATGTAATTTTAAAATGTAGTCTAAAGAGATGGTTTAATCTTTACAAAATGGTAGACAATTTTGTAACTTATGCTTATGAGAACTGTGGTCATAAATGAAAACTATTAGGTTTTGAAGTCTGGTTGACCTTTGAAAAGGGAGATAAAGGATATGTTTGGCCGGGTGCGGTGGCTCACGCCTGTAATCCCAGCACTTTGGGAGGCCGAGGTGGGAGGATCACGAGGTCAAGAGATCGAGACCATCCTGGTCAACACGGTGAAACCCCGTCTCTACTAAAAAACTACAAAAAAAAATTAGCTGGGCATGGTGGCGCGTGCCTGTAATCCCAGCTGCTCAGAAGGCTGAGGCAGGAGAATTGCCTGAACCCAGGAGGCGGAGGTTGCGGTGAGCCGAGATCGCGCCATTGCACGCCAGCCTGGGTAACAAGAGTGAAACTCCATCTCAAAAAAAAAAAAAAAAAAAAAAAAAGGATATGTTTGAAGTTGAATGTATTTATCCATTCTAATGATTCTGCTTTTCACTTATTCAGTTTAGATTTTAATCGTTTTCCAAAACCATTAACAGTTTTGGAAACATCCTTTCAGACTTTTCTTTTTGTATATATGGAAAAACCTAGATCATACTAGTATGTGTTATTTTGCAACATACCTTTTAAAAGCATAAATAGTTTGGAAATTCTTCTACATTAATAGCTGTAGATATATATCATCCTTTCACATTGTTGTATAGTATTCTACTGTATTGGATATTTTATTATTTTTTTTTCTTCAACACACTCCTCCTGTATTAGATATATTATAATTTTATTTACTTAAATGTATTGAAGGGCATTTAGGTCATGACCAATTTTTTGCTATTCTAGAATACTAAGATAAATTGTCTTGTATGTATACCTTTGTACACTGTCTCTCTCCTTAGAATAAATTCCTAAGAGTAGTATTGGGATGTCATAGTTTATGTACTTTTTTTTTTTTTTTTAAGATGGAGTCTTGCTCTGTTGCCCAGGCTGGAGTTCAGTGGTGCAATTTCAGCTCACTGCAACCTCTGCCTCCTGGGTCCAAGCGATTCTTCTGCCTCAGCCTCCCAGGTAGCTGGGACTACAGGCATGCACCACTAATTTTTGTATTTTTAGTAGAGACGGGGTTTCACCATATTGGCCAGGCTGGTCTCAAACTCCTGACCTGGTGATCAGCCCACCTCCACCTCCCAAAGTGCTGGGATTGCAGGCATGAGCCACCGCTCCTGACCAGGTTATGTGCTTTTTAAATCTTGCAATAGACTGCCAGATTGAACTAAATGTTATACCATTTTATGTATCTCCTAGTTACTATAGTGTATTAGAATTTTTAAATAAGCGGGGGTTTCTCCCTTATTTTTACTAACAGTATTTTTTTCATCTTTGACCACACATCAGTCTTTTTGGCATTTCCTTTATTTCTAATAAGGTTAATCTCTTAAACAAGGTTTGTTAATCATTCTGTGTTTTTCTTTGTGAAGTAATTGATAATGTAACTTTCTCTATTGAAAGATACAATAATGAAAAATAAGTACATACTAATATTTTATTGTGATAACAGAGTATTAAATAGGCTTTTATATAAAATAATTTTTAGGGGGCATTATGGAAATTTAATTCATTGTATAGTTGCATGTTATATTATTGGTTAGTAAGATAACTGAAAGTTTTTGTACATTTAATATGACCTTCTAATAAATTTTTTAAAATTCCCCGTAGGGTCATTCTCTTAGTGATGGGCTGGATGAAGTCCAAAAAGCAGAAATGAAAGCTTACATGGAATTAGTCAACAATATGCTGTTGACTGCAGAGGTAAAATACTAGATGATATGACTTGAAAATAAGCCTTTTCTCCCATCCTCCTAAAATAGAATCTTTCTTAGGGGTTAAAGTTATTGAGAAACGGGAAAAACAGTCAAGTAATTCTAGAGCTGGGATGGCTACCTAAATTATTTGGTAATATTATCTTTGAACAAAATACCTGACATTTTCAGTTCTAGTTTTTCCGTTTATAAAAAGGGGTGATTCTTGCCTACTCATTATTTTACTTTGGCCTTTGGAATTTACTTAAATAATAACTGTAAAACACTTTAATGGTATTCAGACATGTATTGTGTGGGTAAAAAATATTTTTATAAAATATCATTATTACATTTAATAATTCTAGATAGCAGCTAAGGAAAACAAACCCCTATGCGTGTGACTTATGAAATTAGCTTATAAAAAATTGCCTTGGCAAGTAATAACTTTCTTTATCCTTTTTCTCTTTGGTATTCTAAAGTTTAGTGACTGTTTTTTTGTTCCTAGTTGTATCTTCAGTGGTGTGATGAAGCTACAGTAGGGGAGGTGAGTGGTTCTGTAGCATTTATCTTAATTAAAATTTAATGAGAAAACACTTTTGCTCAGAATCGTAAGTCCCTGCTCATAAATGAAACATTGTGGTTTATACCATTAGTGATATAGTTTTTCACTTACTTTAATTTTGCTTGCACATACATTTTAGGGAAGCTATATGTCATTGTTTGATATAACGGGTTGCAAAGTACATAAAAATTTATATATTTTTAAAGGGCATGGCTTAAAATTTTAATTTTTTAGATTGCAAGCTGTGTATTTTTTTCAGATTGCTCTATTTATGTTCTTTGAAAATATATTTCTTTTAGAATTCTATTTGTAAAAACAGGCATTGTTTTTAGGAAGGATCATCTTTTTAACAAAATCTTTTTGCTTTAGATCACTCATGCTAGGTATGGATCTCCTTACCCTTGGCCTCTGAATCATATTTTGGCTTATCAGAAACAGTGGGAGGTCAAACGTAAGATGAAAGCTATTGGATGGGGAAAGAAGACTCTGGACCAGGTCAGTTCAGGTTGAAGTTGACAAAACCCTCAACTTTTATACATTCAAAGAATCATTATTTGTATCCATACTCCTTTTAAAGAAAAGCTTTTAATAATATAATATTTGCAAGAAAACCATTTGCTATTATTTTCACTAAAATAATTTTATTTTTTAAAAAATCATACATGCTTGTTGTAAAGCAGATGATATACTGCAGATAAGTCTAAAAAAGCAATAAAACTTGTCTGAAATCTCATCACCTAGAAATTACCACCCTTAACTATTTGGAGAGCCCTCTTCTAGATGTTTCTTAGTAACATTTTCTCAAGTGGAATAATATTATGCCTGCTACTGTATAACCTGAGGGTTTTTTTTTTTTTTTTTTTTTAATTGAACAATGCATTGTGGGCACCTTTTATGTCACTAAATATAGATCTGCAGCATCAGGGCTTTAAAAAAAAAGCCCTATGAATACAGTGCTTCATATATCCTTTTTTTTTTTCTTTTTCTTTTTGCTGTTAAAGTAGCAAAACTTAAAAATACATATCTTGTCCACAAGCATCATTAAGTTAATTAATGTTTGTCTTTTCCAAGGCTACCCTTAATACTAGCCAGTCATCTCACTGATGTGTACCATTGACCACAAGGGGGTTTCACTAAATGAATAGGGATAGAATAAATAAAAATCTCTCTCCACTAGTGGGAAAACAACTGAAATGCTTTTACTCATGGTGGGTCAGTGGTGTTACCTTTATTAAGCAGATTTTTTGGTATATGCAAAGCCATTTGAATATATGGATTCAAGAAAACACTTTTGTTCTTGACAAAATCCTTATAAGTAATTTAAATCTACTTGTATTTTAAAGGAAATTCACTCAAAATTTCTATTTCATATATAGAAAGTATTTCATATATATGTGGTCTGTAGTCTTATTAAAATATAAAAGGTTAACCTGAATTTATATTTTTTTATTATAAACTGTGATACAAGTTATGTTTTAGATACTTTTTATTGTTTTGCTAATTTAAATATTTTTCTTTGGGGCTCATTGCCTGTGTTAGGTCTTAGAGGATGTAGACCAGTGCTGTCAAGCTCTCTCTCAAAGACTGGGAACACAACTGTATTTCTTCAATAAGCAGTAAGAAAGTTTACTTTTTCAAAGTTAATTTTCTGTACTGTTAGGTTGCAAATTTCTTTATTTCATAAAAGAATTGCTTTTTCAAGAAAAGATGATTGTTTGTATAATTTTTGTACTCAAATATTTTTGTAGCACTTCTTTACTGTCAGGCACAGTGCTAGGCTCTAGGAGACTTAAGTTTTCTAAAATGTGGTTCTTGTTAAGAATTTCTCTTAAAGGCAGTCATGTAAATTAGTCATTTAT